TTAAACAAGATAATTTTTAAAAGAGGATTGACTTAAAAAAGAAAGAGCATCAGGTTGTTGTGATCGTTTGGATGGGCTATCCATTGTAAAGTACAACTCATGCTAAAATGTGTGGTGCTCTGGCCTAATGTACAGTGCTCTGGCCTGATCTAAGGGAAGAAAATTCCCACATTGGAATTAAGTGGCAGACCAGGCCCAAATGTGAGTGATGTGCACATCTTTATGCACATCTTCTGAATGTTTTTCTGCAAGAAATCAGTGTTTTTCCTTTAGTTAAAAGCTAAATACTGAAACCCTGGCAAACTGCAGTTTTCCATTCCTGGTAACAAATTTTATATGAGGACTGGGGAAGGAAAAGAAGAATTTCAGCTAATAAAAACCACAAAGGACTTATTTCCTTTTTTTAATGTACATCCAGAATAATAAAAAATGAGAGACAGAATTAATAATAAGCATTATTAATAGAGAGAATTAATAATAAGCATAGAGTAATAAGCATTAATAAAATGTACAAGCTGTAAGACTTTGCAGAAATGCTATTTTAAACTGAATTTTCTTCATGTTGTAAATGCTTGAAATCTAATTCATATGCCCACTGATTATCTAGGTTTGGCTGCATGCCTGAATAAATGCAATAGAGTCCAAAAAGTGTTTTTCTCATTTACATTTAACACCTTATGTTACAGTAAACGGTGCAATTTAGAGCAACTCCCTGTTTTTGTAAGATACAAATAATGCTTATAGAAAAAACACAGAAGAATTGTGTTTATTGAATAATTTATCCAAGTTTACAGTTACATGGTTTTCAATTGTAAAATATGTCCTCATTAGAAAATATAATCAATTATAAAAGTTGTAAAGATTTTTTTTTTCTTAAACATTTATTTAAGACCTGTGCAGAGATAAAACAGAGTTGAGAATATTCAATCTATTTAACCAGTGTTTTAAATATCACAATCATGTTTTCTAATTAGCATGTGTGGTGATGTTACCCTTAATAAACAACAATCCCTTGCATGAAATTAGAAGCATTCTTATAAGTTTTGAAATAATCAAATTAAATTCCAATTTATCATGCCTTGAAATAAAGAGAACCTAAACATGACTATGTTTGTCTGTGCACATCTTAGGAATCCTTCTAGGGTGAAGCTATAACTTACTCTTTTCTGGGGGAAAAAGACCCAGCAAACTAACCTTTGAATGTTTTTATTTTTTCGGATGTGACTAAGGAAGTGAGAAGCATAAAGCTTCTAGCCACCGTTTTTTCAGATAACAAAACTTGTCTCATCCCCACTTTGTTGCTTCCAAGTTACTTTGAGGAATATGAACAACTCAATATTAGTTATAAATTATTATAACATTAGGTTATAAATTCTTGAACATTCAAAGCAATTATTCCAAAGACATGTAAGCATTTAGTCTAATGTGATTCATAATAGGTAAAGGTTAGTATATTCATTTAAGAGACTTTTTAGGAAAGAGTGCTTCACTGACAGTAATTGCTCAGTGAACTCTCTCAAAGAATGAATAAGATGTTTTTCATAGAAGGAGAATGGTTTTTGTTTGAAGGAACCTTAAACACCATCTAGTTTCAACTCCCTCTGCCATGTGCAGTGACGCCTTCCACTAGACCAGGTTGTGCAGATCCCCATCCAACCTGGCCTTCAACACTTCCACTGATGGAACATCCCCAGCTTCTCTGGGCAGCCTGGGCCAATGCCTCAACATCCTCACAGTAAAGAATAAAACAGAAAGTGTATTTCTTCCTAACATCTAATCTAAACCTGTCCTCTTTCAGATTAGAGCCTCTTGTCCTATCACTCCATGTCCTTGTAAAAAGTCCCTTTCCAGCTTTCCTGTAAGCACCTGTTAGGCATTGGAAGGCTTCTGTTTATTACACTGTTTCCTGTCAAGGACCTCATTCTATAAGAATACCTAAGACAAATTTAGTACTTTTTTAGTTCTTCCAGTCTAGTTTTTTTTAAAGACTCTTTGCAGTTTATTAAAATTGGGCTTGAGTACTCCTGTTGTTCATCCTTTTCTTTACTAAGTATCAAAGCCATATTAGTTCATTTAGGCTCCCTAAAAAACTTCAAAATTGCAGCAGCAGTGTTGCAATATGAATTTAGCCTTGACAGACAAAAACTTTCAGAAAAACACCTCAGATTATTCTGCAGATTTGGTACTGAGATGTAAATAACTATCACTACTTTCAAGTGAATGGTTCATCAAAATGTATTTTTAATGCCAGAATTTTAGTGTTACTTGGTGTCAGTTGGATTGATATCACTGAGCTATTTGCTCAGTATTCTGTGAAATGAAATAAATATACATGAATGTTATACAGAAAATTTTAGTCCATCAACATAGGACAGTTGTATGAAAAATGAGAATAAGTCTTGGTAAATGATGCATTCAGAAAACCTTCACTCATATATTTGAAACCCGTTCTTTGGAAGAATAACTTTTCACCATAAACGACAAATGTTTTCCTGTATGTGAACAGTGTTACTAGAATATAGTAATTCTTTGTCACAGAAGATATCTGTTCAAGAGCTTAAGTGCTTTTCCTCCTACTTGATTTTTTATATGGAAGCCGTTTCGTTGAGTTCAATGTGTTTTATATCACCAGACCTTCCCCAGCAAGGAAGAAGACAGTGGTCACTTCTAACCACCATTGCCTGCTTTCTGTCAACTACCCAGACTTTCAGATGCCTATGTAATGCGTGTATTGAAGGAAACCAGACACCCTCTAATTCAGAACTGTAGCTCTGGTTTTCCACTGATTTAAACTGTAACTGTGACGGTGCTGAAGGAAGAAGTTGCCTAGTTGTATGAGCCTCACCATCTTCCATGTGATTCTAATTCTTCAGCAATACACACTATTAGAGGTGTCATCCTAGCCTCACATTTGTCATATGTTATTCTGTGTAATTTCCTTTTCAGTGGCAATTGAAATTATGCAGTTTTTCAAATCTTGAATCTCTTTAGTTGAGAATTGATTAATTTGTATAGCTGTACTGAAAATTAATTTAACAAGTAACAATATAAAAATGCTAATGATGTGAGAAATTTCTTGGTCTAGTTCTGTGAGAAGTGTCTCCGCATCACATAGAGTCAATGTTCAGTCTTTCAGACATTGTTTGTGGCCATGTTTATTATGAGTGATATTGTATCCCATATTTAGGAAAAAATCCAAAAAGTTACTGAATTCTAACCATTTCTTGCATCTTAGTAATTTTTTTCTCTAGTAAATCAGTGATAAGTCCACTTAAATTTTTCAAACTGTTAAAACAGAAGGATTACTTGTGAAGTGAATTCTCTGTTGCCAGGTTAAAGGATCAAACCAATGGTCTGATATGTGTGTTGTGACAGTGACTGGTGTTAGCTGTAAGGAATGTGATGCAGTGCAAATTATGGACTGCAATTCACAAGAGACTTTCCCACACCTGAGCAAGCAGTTGACTTCCACTTTGAAGCAAGTTTGGTTTTGACTAATGAAATTGTGACTGGTGATCAATCTGAAAATGAATGCCTAATCCTGTTTTAAAATGCAACTACGCAGTTCTTTACATGAGTTGGGAACTGAAAATTCCAGGCTTTTGGCATTTCATTTGGTAGTACAGTCTATGCCCAATGCTAGTAAGCATCACATTAGCTGTCTGCTGAGGACTACAGGCTTGCCTAAGCTCATCACCTCATCTATGACATGTGCTGGAAGGAGTGTCATTACCCCAGCAGAAACCAAGTTAACCACCTTTATAGGACTTACACTAAACAGCATTTATGCTGTGTGGCTATCCATTAAGCTATGCTACCATCAGCAGAATGCCGGAGATCTTGAAAGGTTTGTCAAGGAAAAAATCTCGTGCTGGATTGAACTCCAGAAACCTGGGAGCATGGAATGGTGTTGAGGGAAAATGCACTTTTATTTCAACAAATATTGGGTTGAAATAAAAATGTGTCACTCTTTTTCTGAGAAATGATAATTTTGTCCAATTATTCTGCATGCACAAAATGTATATTTATTTAATCAGAATTTCCAAGAGAAAAGTGGTTTGTCCAGTGTCCTTCTCTATGGTTCCCTTTTCAAAATGGGAAAACAATGACTAGGCTGGTTTTTTTGCATGTACAACAGAAAAAGAATCCTTATTCCTTTTGGTTGAATAGTAATATATCACTAATTGCAAGGCTGAGAACTGCAGGAATTTGCTTCCCTGAAACAGGAAATTCTGGCAGAGAATATATTTCCTTCAAGTGAACAGGCTGGGTTTACACACCTCCTAGGCAAAGAGAGAGAAAAATATTTGTCTTTATTTACTGAACGTTTAAAAGCATCTTTTGAACCCCTGCACTCCATGAATGACAGATACATTATTTAGAGCCAGAAGTCCTTCCACTCAGGGTGCAGGCCACTAGCCTGACCCTGACTTCAAACACCAATCTCCCAAAATGCTTTCCTGCTGTGTAGTTGCATAGTTAGCTATTCTTGTGAATTTTCCTTTTATATTTCCAGGGAAAGACATGGAGAAAAAAAAATCTGGAGTTACCTCCTTGTATACTAGTAGGTAGTATAATTTCGTAAGGTGTCTGTATGTAGGAATGTTTAAGTATTTTCTAATTTGTCTGTTTATGCCCAGTTAGCTTAATGTTGGCATCTCAATGTTTAAAACTACAAAATAATGTTCAAATTGCATTCAGAAGTCAGACAAATGAGCAAAATTATTAAAATCATTTGAATACCTTGAATTTTCCAGAGGGATATTATGGCATAATATTAAATGTATTGTAGTATGGAATTAATTTTGCTACTGACATTGAATTATTATAAACTTGCATTCACATCAATGGACCACGTTTGACCATAATTTTTTTTTTTCCTCAGGAAAAGCAAATCTGACCCAACCCATACATATTACTTGTAAATTTTCTGTTCTTTGCTCTCTCACATGAAAAAATGCATTGGAGATTGCATCAGCTTTTTTTCTTGATTCCCACAGGCACAACAGCTAACGGATCTGGAACAAAAACTATCAGTTGCAAAAGACAAACTGGAAAACGCAGCCCTTGACAAAGTAAGAAGTGTCATGTAATGTAAGTGTGTTTACCTATATCAGCTGTGGATGTTTTGGTGTAATTTGACAAAAACAAATGAAAGCCTTGCAGTTATTTAGATGCATACTAAGTTGCATCTGAATTGTACCTGAGAGTGATGCTACTGAAATCAGTGGAATTAATTATGATACATGAAGTTAAGTACATCTGCAAAGTTATTTAAGAAGAGGATGGTCAAATTAGAAAAAAAAAAACTCAAAAAATTTTTGCACTGATTTTTAGTAGATTTAGATATTTATTGAACTATAGTTTGTGCTGACAGTAGACTTAGTGTCTGTCATAAGTTTATTTACACTAGAGCAGTTTTCTATTTCCTACCATGGATCCTTAGAATGTTTACACATTTTTTATTACCAGGCCCCAAATACCAAAAATAGTGTTGCCAGTAGGACTAGGAAAGTGATTGTCCCCCTGTACTCAGAACTGGTAAGGCCACACCTCACATAGTGTTCTGGTTTGGGCCACTCACTTAAAAAATGACATTTTGGAGTGAGTTCGGGGGATGGCAATGAAGCTGGTGAACAGCCTAGAACACGTCTTCTGAGGAGCATCTGAGGGAACTGGCGGTGTTTAGTTTGAAGAAGAGGAGGCTCATGCTCCTTGTTCTCCTCAGCTGTCTGAAAGGAAGCCATCCTGAGGCAGGGGTTGGTTTCTTCTGCCATGCCTCAAGTGAAAGGATGAGAGGAAATTATGTTAAGTTGTGCCAGGGGAGGTTTAGATTAGAAGTAAGAAATTTTATTTTCACTGCAGAAGTGGTTAGCTATTGGAACAAGCTGCCAAGGAAGGTGGTGGAGGTACCATCTCTAGAAGTGTTAAAGAGGCATCTGGATGTGGCACTTGGGTTTAGGGGTGATTAAAATGATGCTATGTTGACAGATGGTCTTAAAGGTCTCTTGCAGTCTTGATGATTCTGTGGATCTAGCCATGTGATAGGAATACAAATAGACCAGGGAAATATGAAGACATGCATCATACGTGGGCAGTATTTTGGCCAGTAAGCAGCCTATTTTGACCACAATCACATCTATGCAAGATTATAAAGAACTTTGTCAAATTACATCCCTGGTTCCAATAGTGTTTCCTTCACCTGTGCTTTCATGATGTTCATTTATGGATCTACCATCAGCAAAGTCAATATTGAATTATGCTATCCACAGGATGGAAACAAATTTACTTGTCCTTCTTTTAGCTTTGGAATGGCAAAATTGGAGTGGCTGCAGCTAAGGAAGAATGAGTACGGGACGGCAGGATTAAGAGATGAGAGGATGAGAAATTATCCAGAGAAATTTCTGGATGAGACGAGAGTGATTTCAGATTGGTGCAATCTGCAGGAAGCACTAGGGTCATATCAGACTAGATTGACTGAGTCCATATCATCATACAAAATTAGACAGTCTGCTACCTCTGCCCATTTAACCATAACAAATGGTGATTTATGCTGTCTGTGCAGTCACTAACTTGAAAAGTTAAAGACATGTTACATTGAAAAGAAGTATGCTGGTATCTTCTGCTGCCGATTAGAAATTAAAGGGTCCTTGAGTCAAATGGATGAATGGATGGGCAGGGAGGTTTTGGAGGAACTTAGGAATAAAAAGAGGATGTATCATCTTTGGAAGGAGGGTCAGGTCTCTCAGGTAGTTTTTAAGGGGGCTGCTAGACCGTGTAGGACAAAAAAATTAGGGGGGGGGGGGGGCCAAAGCCCAGTTCAAACTTAAAATGGCGGCTTTTGTAAAGGAAAAAAAAAAAAGTTTTTACAAATATATCAATGGGAAA